GCTATTTATTATTAGAATTGTTCTTCCGACGTCTGATTTCTTTTTAATTGTAGGAAATGTGTTTTTCTAAAGTACATACATAAACTTTTGGGATTGACTGTAGAGCCAATAGATCCTTAAGCCGAGAAATGTCAAAACGAAAAAGGATATGGATTATTTTATAAAACGAGACTTTTGTTTTATTATTCAAGATACCTAATAAGCTTAAACATAATAGACATCTCATCGTTTCATTCAGTTTTAAATGACATTGATCAGAAATTCTGCATTATCACAGTAGACTTACACTTTTACTTATAAAATTCGATTAGTTTCACGTGTCGAGAATTCCATAAATACTTCGTACCCACGTTTTGATTTATGTATAATTTTTTTATTTATACGAATGACGTCCCACGTAACCCGTCAGCCTCTATATTTCAATAGGCAAGCAACTCGACACGATCTGATCGATAAAGCGCCCACGTTGTTGCGCGGATGCCAATACATCGCAAATATCGTCAAGTTATGTAATTCATTAAGCACTCTCGATGCTACTACGAATATTTACACGAAGAGTTACGTTTCCAATTTGGACAATAATTTTTGTTTCAGATTTTTCTACCTCTATCACTTCTCGTTCTACGCGTACCATTATCGATTTAATGGACAGTACAGCAGTTTGGCCCTCGTCACATCTTGGCTCTTCATTCAGGTGAGTGTTTCCTTGTTCACGTACTACATACAATAACGTGTCAAGTCATAAAAATACTGTTTTGCGATATGGAAAACGAGATACGAAATTATTATATTAAAGAGATTCACAAAGATAATGCACCGTGTCATATTGTAGATACGAATGTTTTTTAAAATTGAGAACGAAATACGAATATACATATAGTGACGTTACAAAAAAGCAAATGGAACATCATTTGTAAAAGCATTGAAAAATAAGTAAATGGTTAGCTTTTGTAGATTATTTTGTTTTATGTTTTTAAAAGCTAAGAGGGATGTCTTGTCAATCAATATTTTATTTTTCTCTAATTTTATATTATATGTATGTATATTTGTATTAATACCTTGTGTATTATTCTTAAAGAAATTCTGAATTCGTTAATCAAACATCACAATCTGTTTAAATTGTAAAATGGAAAGTAAATAACCACACGAATTATGTTACTGTGTAAAACATCTATTCGGTTTTTGTGGTATCGACAAATAGACTGGTTTGAGGGTAGAAAAATGACGGAAACATGTGGTGCGATAAATTCGTACTCAAGTAAAAATAAAAAAACGATAGCTAAATAACGATAATGGTGATAATTGTCCCAAGCGGAATAGGAAAAAGTTGTAAAACCGGGCATTAATTAGACACGTAGCAACACGTTCGAGAGTGTACTACAGATTCGTTCGATTAAATAGCATACTGTGTCCGGACTTTTGCGTTCACGTCACTTATTAAAGAACTCCGTTCAAACAATGGGGGGCGTAGGTTTGGAAATTATGTCACGAAGTACTTTTCCCCGTCCACACCGCGGCCCCCCTCCACCGTTGCGATCGATCATCTCTCCTGACGTCGATCACGAGGAATTTCTCGAGAGGGCTGCAAATGTGTTTGCCTTTCAAATTGCTTAGCTCCGGATGTTCGTCGTGCGTGAAAATATGTTTTCTCTCGTGCGGCTAGAGTCCACGGTTCTTCGATTGGACGCACGTCGCCGTCGCTTCGGCCCGGGCTGAAATTAAATCGATGGGAACATAATGATGAACGTTCCGCAGCCGTGGATTCATTTTATTCATGGGAAAGGATGGTCGTTGGTAAGGTGACGATGTAATTAAATGCAAATGTGTTGGTCTTGCTGTTTCTCCGTAATTAGGTATTAAACCAGAAAGGTAATATCGTCTATTCAATGCGACCTAAAAGTATACAAGTCAAATAATTCTTAATTATTGGTCCAAACTTCTGGTTTTCGTTGAATTTATATCAATTTAATAACTTGATGTCTCATTATGAAATGTTCCAACAAATTTTCGAGTTATGGTTTATAATGGTATATGAACAAGCATCTTCTTTTATTAAAACAAGTTGAAATTGGTAATTAGATTGTTTGTCGCATTTAATAAGCTAGAACATGGAAGGCGAACGTTTTATAAGGGTTCACGGTGAAAGTCCTGTTATTGACAGTGACGGTAGCGAATGAAGAGCCGTTGCTTTCCAGCCGAGACCCGCCATCGCTCAAACTTAAGTTACGTAAACGTAACCAGGACAATGTACCTGACAGTTCGATCGATGGAAATAATTTAATGCCAACTTACGGCTCCGAATGACCGCGTATAAATATCGCTCAGTTTCAAGTCGTTCTCTGAAATCCGCCTTCCGATATATTGTCAGAATAACGAATCAATTCCATTTATCTAGATGCAAATTCATTTCTTTAAGTATTATACATTGATAGCAGGGATACATGATTTGTTTATGAAAAATTGCACATCTGTTGCTAAAACGTTTTTCCTTTAAATGAAATCATTCGTTTATATCATTATTAGTATAATATATACAAATAATTAATCGTATAATTTTTGGCAATTTTACAATATTATCCAAATGGTTAAATGAAAAAGAAATTTTGACGTGATTATAATGGTTGAAGGTGGTAATTGAATCAGAAAAATTATTTAGCTGTGTGAACGATACGCGAAGTAATGTAATTGGATAGCATACTTTGCTAATCCAATGAATCATAATTAGATGATCGCGACGGGCGTATTAACAGTTATTATTATAATGGCGTTACAGTAGCTAGCTGTTGCCATAATAACAACGTTCGATATGTATATTTTGCGTGGAAAAATTAAATACCATTAAAGTGTAATGGTACGGTTAATTAGCCGATAAAAGATGCAAACGAGTAACAGATTGTACTGTTATATGCGAGTAAAAAGACTATCTATTCATTCATGTTGCGGCGACGCGGATTAAAAATGAAAATGACATAGTATCGAGATATAAGAATACTGTTTGAATATTGAACAAGTTTATACTTTAACTTCATTTATTGTTGATCGATTTCATATTATGAACTTTGACTGAGAATTTTCTGGCATTTAATGACCGCAGCCACAGTTACCGCGAATTTTGATAGCATTCCCTCATCGATAGAATGAAGTATTCTAGTGGCGAATAATAATTAACACTCGTCGATGGAGTTCACCTGTTCGTTAATGAGAACGGCCAGGTGAGTAGGGCAACTATCTATGATCGTTCTCGAAATGAGTTTACAAATACATCGAGCCGCGGGAAAATTTGAAAAGCCGGCGGGCAACAGGCCGCGATTGAGTGAACCGGCTTGTTTTACCTCTCTTTCTCTCAGCCTACCTGCCGTCCTTTTCTTTATAAACGCGAGAGTCGAGACGATTAGCCCCGCGGCGTCATTATATACGTACCGATATCGACGTCATCGGCGTTGATTAGCAAACGAAAATCCGATTTTCCTCGGTAACCCGTTTCGTCCTGGATATCGTTTTAAGCTTCTCTTTCGCCTTCCAGCTAGCCTCGCTTTTCCTCCGCCGATCAGTCTCGCGAGCGTTCTCTTGTTTTCTTTCTTTTTTTTCTAAAATGATGCAGATTCGTTTCGTTATTCCCAGCTCGAATCGCCGTGGATACCATTTCCTTCATGTCGACGACAGGTGCCCGGTCTTGAAATATCTGTTTTTCCATATTCAGTCCCTTTCCTCCCGTATTTCTCTTCGTTCCCTTTCCTCCGCGTCTTTTTTCCTTACCCATACTCTATACCTACTACTCGTACGTATATCTCTGACCCCTCTCACAGTATCTATTCGTTCCTGCTAAGCTGTCGGTTTGCACGTTTCATTTTGACATTGTTTTTTGCATCTCATGGCTCGAACTGTTGCTGCTCTCTTTACCCTGACGAGGAATTCTTACTCGATTTTTATGTCGCTCCGAGCGTGAACCTATCGATTCTAACTATTACCGGTTTATCCAACATGAAAATTCTACCTTGTGATTCTTATGAAAATATGATTTGAAATTGATACTGAATATGTTTTTCAAATGGAATTTTGAATGATTGAGATTGCTTCTAAGAGTTAATATTAAACCGACTAAATATTCTGAATTGGATTACTACAAAATTATGAAATGAAAGAAAACCTCTTTATTTGAACTTCGGGGATGAAGAAAAATTTTATATTGGTCTTGGTTGAATAAGCTGCGTAAATTGCTTCATTTCGATCATGATTTCCGACAGAGATTTAGAACATCCAATCTCGCTGTATCATTTGTTGAAATTTTCTTATTTGTTCGATACTAACGCAAAATTATTCATATCCTCATATGCACGCGTGGAATGTTTGCAACTACTGTGAATAAAAGTATTGCGATTGGCAGCAGCACGACGATCGGATAGTGGCGGCGGTGGTTGAAAGAGGGGTAGAATGACATAGGGGTTTCGAAGGGTGCGAAGAGAACGAGAGAAACGGTATAGAACAAATTTGGTGAATTTCCATATAAATTTGCTGTGCACGAGCGACGCTCACACGTGTATGTATACGTACACGCGCGACCACGAGTAGTTCGTAGAAACAAGCGATATCAGTAGACCGTATGCCTCGTCCTCGTACCTAGCGCTTTCGATAGTGACCACCCTGGCTGCAGCAAATTCGCAAACTAAGTATGATAGCGTTAATACCACGCCGAAGCCAATGATTCGTTATACATGTTTATTAATTCAATTAGCATACGCGGGCGATGTTTATTAATGAAGTCGAAAATGCTTCAACTTTATTTCTTAACGTATGAGTATCTCAGATTTTTACTGAATTGCGATGGAAGAATTTTTTTTTAATCTTTATGTTTCCGTTTCTGTTTTCAGCATTCGATGCTATACTTCTTCCATCATTACGAGTTGCCAGTTATACTACAGCAGGCACAATTACAGCATGTACTGTTTCGGAATCGTGCACACGGTTCACCCACTATGGCTGAACCTTCGCCTGAACCATCGCCCAGCACGAATCGGGCACTGGCTACTACCACTACTATTACGCCTTCAGTGACAGAACCATCGTTGACAAGAGAACAAGCACTTATCAGGGAACAGATACAAGTACCAACTTCGTGGAATCCACCGCAGTCGGAGTCGAGCTCGACCATTCCCGATGACCAGGCCGAGGACCGAAGCGAAGCCGCAGCAGATGTTTCTCATTCGAGCGAAGAAGAAAACACCGAAGGTACGTGCAGCATGTTTAATTTCTGTTGCATGCTTAAATTTTGTTGGATCAATTATTGGGGCTTACGATTTCATGAAATCGACTGTGATCAATTGAGAATGATGAGCTGAAAATCATTGTGGTCAATCTTGCTGATTTATGAAAAGATGTTTTCTATTGAGAATTAAAGTGCTTTTCATTTGATTGATAAACTAAATGTACGTTTAGAAGTTGAAACAATTAAACACAGGTTTTAATATTACAATTTGCTATGATTATCAGTTTTCGAAGTACACATCTTGCTTGGAATTGACTGAAATTTTTATTTCTACTAACAACAATTTTTTTCATCAATCTGTGTGGAAAATTGTGGTTCATGTCTCTGTATTTTCTTAAATATTGTATATTGAGTATCGTCGGTGTTGGTGGGTGTATTTGTATAAATAATACCCGTTGATATTCGTAATAGACCGTTTGGCACGTGATACCTTACGATCGTATTTCGGTTGGCAGTGTTTCATTCGCCACAATTTTTAATTTTGGTTCACCATGTTTCTTTCGATGATTCAATCAATCCATCGTCGTTCTAAACGAGCGTAAACCGACACGTTGGTCAGTAGATTTTACGAAATAATTGATAGCGTAGGAAGCTTCGACATTAAAGTTAGATAAAATGCTATCCCGATTCATGAAAAAGGACTAAGGATTGTTTTTTACCATGTATCTAATTTATTATTATTATTACTTAATTTTAATTCGAGTACGTAACAAAGATACTTGCTCGTAATATTTTTTTTTAGATGAACATTCAATTCGGTGGTTTCACTTGCAGTTCAATTTTCGTTTATATTAAATTCGACACAATATTTTTGCATGTAGCGTGTAATTCCGTTCTTGGAACTCGGTTAGAAATAATGCCACGCTATGCAAATTTAATGAACGGCTCATGCTGTTTTACTTTCATCCCATTCGTTCCGTAATAATTTTCACAAAGCGTACTTTGTAGTTGCACGAACGTTTTTTATTAATTCGAGTTTTCTGTATTTTGCACTGCAGTTCTCAAAGGTTCATACAGACCAACGAAATACTCTTCGTACATTAATTATTGATGCTACATATTTTTGGTTTTGAAACTTACATGCCATTTTACTGAATTTGGAAACTGGCAATGTTTCATATGCACGAGTCTAACAATTATAAGGTGTATGTAAAATGTGGATATGTTAAAATTAACAATGGTGAATGAAATGTAAATAAATTTTTGATGTTCGTCCGTCACGCATCCTCATCGCATTCGGCGCAATTCTGTTTTCTAATCGGTTCTCGTCTGCCTCTCATCGCTTTCTCGTCTAGCAGACCTTGCACGCATCCAGTCACGCACATAGACACGCGACCTCTTACAATTAGCTGAACGCTGCTTTAAATCTTAGCGACGGAGAGTCTGACGATGTCAACAGCGTCGATCGTCAGCATGGAAGTAAGCACGGAACCGAAATCGGAGCCGACAACATCTATCAGTTCCGGTCCCTTGAAGACAGGAGGAGACAATGGTTCATCCACCGATACTTCTACGTCGGAGGGGTTTGAAGTGATCGAGGCCACGGAGGCGATGCGCAAGGAAACGACATCCTGTCAAGAGAACTAGAGGAACACTAAAACGCCTCGAGCTGTGCCAGTTGCATAAAGTGGGAGGATAGAGTTCCGCGGGAGGGGAAGAGGTTGTCATTTAAGCGCGACTGCCTCTGTGAGCGGAGCGTCTTGGGAGCTGAAGAAAACCTCGAGGATCGCAGACAATTGAACAAGCGGAGAGAAATCGGGATCGTTTTCAGCGTGGACCATACTGGCAGGATAAAACGTTTATTTTATAACTGATCGATATCCGAATATTGTGGGACAGCTCATCCTTCGGGACAAATAGAGAGCGAATGGATGAATGAGCTAAAAATGTGTGTGCATATACCTTTAATCCAGTTACAGCGCGTGGCTAGGCATTAGAGTTTAACGATAAAAATTAGCTAATCGGCAGGGACGTGAAACGGGATTGTCAACTAGATTCCGTTGTGCACGGGACCAGATCACGTGAAGATGTAATACGTACTTCGGGAGGATGGTATATGTAATATTGCATTCTTGTGGAAACTTAAGAAAAAGACAAAGAGATTCATAACGCCGTGCACAGAAAGTAGGTGGATTGAATATACGAATGGATAGATTAAGATTTTTTAAATTGACATTTGAACGCAGAACGAGCCTATCTTCCACACACATTGCTACTATTTAATATTAAAAGAAAGTTTTCAGGGATTTTTAATTCCAAACGCGTGATACTGACATCGGCGTATGGCAATTTCGGGTCACAATGAGTACCCTCGGCGAACGTGAATTAAATTGAGATCAATAAACAATAAACATATACTAATTTTAAAGTAGCCTTCAAGGTATAGTGAGATTTTTAAATTGCCAACGTTTGAACTCTGATCGAATTTTTAGCACCGTTACACTACGGAGGCTGTTACAATTATAATTTACATTTACCTTATTACTTTAGAGAACCAATGTTGATTTACGTTCAAGCTCATTTAAAATGTCAATCTATGGATCATCGGTTTGGAGACATATTTGTCGCAAACATTTTCTAGTTATTTGAGAAAAATAAGCAAATAAGAAGGATACGTGGTTTAAAATATTGACGTTATTAAGTGTCGCAATGATTTGTTATTTGATTTTGTATTGAATTTTTCGCGCGGTCTTTTCGCGCTTCCGTAAAAGGGCATTCACGTAATCGACGTTCCACCGTATTTAATCCGGAGGACATCTGGCACCAGTTTCATGAGTGGCATTCTAAAGAACGAATTCACAGTAAGCTCTCGAGTGTTGTTAGACTTAATTACCAATTAAGAAAATTGTAACGCGTTAAATGTGTCGGTATCGCATGAAACGTTACGTAACGCCGAGCCAGGCTGCACGATGAAGAATACGACGAATGAAGAAAATGAAAGAACGACGAGAATTGTTCGTTACCACACACGCCTTGGAGAAAATATGCCTTTTATTTCGTCGATGAAACGTTTTCACGTTGACGCGATGTTGTTTTTGATAAGGCTTTTAAACGGTCGTTGTAAAATAAGCTTTCTTGTATTGTAAGTCGCCAGGTGAAGCGTTCTATCAAGGTTTACGCCAGTGTATTAATCGACTGTTCTTTGTTTTTTTAATCTTGATGAACGTTGCTGTTGGAGGTGGATACGGATTTTCGAACGTACGTCTTTTGAAAAGACAATTGTTTTTTAGCGAGACCGGTCGCAGAGTTATGCAATCGAGAACTGCTGACAGAATTAGTTAGACTCTGATACTTACTGCACACAGAATATTTATTGTTTGTCGTGAACGTTCTTCTATCAGTGTGTATGGATGACTGTTCGCGATTTTTGAGACACGGAAGAAAGAAATAAAAGCCGTGTAAAGATCGGTGATGGGGGTATGTTTGAAATCTTGTCAACAGAGAGAATGCCAGAATGAATGATCAGATTCTCATTGTTTTTAATATAATCCGAAATTGGATTCATCTATGTAAAATATTTTCTTAACGTGATAAGAATTCGTTTCTTTGGTTGTACATATTACTGCACTTCGAATTATTACTATTACTACTGTACTATTGCTGCTCTTACTGATAGAATTATAAATAAACGTAAAGGTGTTGCAACTCGGTATAATCATATCTGACCCACGGTTGCTCGTTCTCTTTTATCATAACACTCTCTTTACTACTTGTCGGCATAAAAATTGGTTCTGAAAAATCTGTCTTTCGTTATTCCTTTCCGTTCGAAATTCCTTATAGCACAGATAATTGAATGAGATTTTATAATCCTAATAGTAACTGAGAACAAGGCAAATTTTAACATTGAGATAAATGTAAAGGATGTTCTTAGCCCGTTCAATTGAAATTCTGAGAGAACGGTGTTCTGTTATACGGTGATCTAAGTTCCGTCGGACGAATTTCTCTGGTCATGAAAACCCCAGGCGACGGTCCGCGGGCGAGACGCAGAAAATGCAAGATTTAAAAGAGATTCCCGTGAAATTGGAATTGATTGTTCAAGCGGGATATAACGGGCGAAGGTGGGCAGGGTATTCGGGATCGGAGGTTGAATTCTGTCGAAGACACGGCTTCCGGGGTGGGTGGGAAGCGTAGAAACGCCGAAATAGACAAATAGATAGCGGGATGTACCTTGGAGAGAATCAAACAGGTGGCGTGACAGAAACCGAAGAACCCGTGTTTTCTTGGAAGCAACAGAGGAAGGATCCTTTTCTGTTCGTCGCGACGGAGGTAAGGGTAAAACGAAAGAGAGAGCAAAGACGCCCAAAGAGACACGACAGTCGTACAAATGTAACGATTTATTTTCATTACGACATAATTAGAAACGAGATCCGCGATTCGATGTCGTGTTCGGGTTCTTGGACCGTCTTCTCGGTTTCCCGAACACCCACCTGGATACGTGCAAACACAGACACGCCATGGTCAACGAAGTCTTCCGAGTTTTACTCTCGAATCGATAGAACATCCTCTGTTAATTGTTTTGATTTCGTGCATAGAATTTATCCAACGTTTCTTCGAGGAGGTAGATTGTTATGAGGTAGTTTTAATTTCATAATATATCTTATTGTGATTATAATGTGTCTTATTATTTTCCATGCATCGTAGTTTCGAAATATAAAATTGTAATATGGTAGGAGAAGAAATAATTAATTCTGATAACAAATCAATAATTTATTACAAACACTGTTCTAACAAATCATCTGCTTGTTACATGAATATACACATGAATAATTTTATTGTAAGATTGCCATTTTTGAGGGCACTTTGCTGCCATGATCGGGTATCGACTTGAGTAGAAGATTGGACGCAATGCTTTTCCTAGATCGAAATTGAAAAGGGCTCGCAGGATGAACAATACGTTGGGGGAATACGGCGTGTCGATGGGCAGCAGGAGGATTTTCGTGTGTCCCGGAAACTCGTGTACAGATTCCGGCGAGGTTAGAGGGTGAGAAGTGCAATGGGCACGTCGAAACGAGGGAGAGATAGAGAAGGAGGAACAGAGGAAAGCAGGAGGAGGGCCGGGGGAAACAGAATGCCCACGGGGGCAGAATTTGCATCCGGCAAAGCAACCTCAGACTACTTTATTTGATTGGCTGCCCGCAGGGTCGCCTTCTACCTCTGCAAACCCACACGAAAGTACGTTTTCGTATTTCTCTCTGCTCTTTTATTCAACTTTTCTCCGTCTTCCTCCTTCCGTAATAGTCGTCCTTCCTGTTCGTCACTTTTCTTCACACTTGTTTACATTTCATCTTTTTTTCGAAAACGCAGTAGGTACCTTTCACTCACATTTCCGACATTTCGTCGTTCTTTTATCTTTCCTTTCTAAAATCTGCGTTTTCCTTAAAATAATCTCCGGGAAACGGTTCATGTCTTACGGACTATGCCAGAACCTCTTAAGCCTTCTTAGGACATTTCTTTCTGCATCTCGAATCGGATCTGCGCCCGCAAAAGAGTAGGACAAGCTTCAATCTCTTTAATACTTCTCAAAAGTATCGGCTGCCTGTGCAAACATCGATGAACATTTCCTTATTTTTTCTTCCTACTTAAGGGGTTAACCGGTTTCTCTTTTTTCCGTGAACACGCATTCTATCCTCACAAGAATATTTACTAATTAAAATTTATGGATAAATGTTATTTTTATCAACAGTAAATTATTACATAATTGTAACCATTGTAACGCGATCATGCATGAGTTCATGACTGAGCTTAAAGCAACTGCCGGTTTTCTCTTACGCCCCGATACTCGTAGGATAATAATCTGTTTTATTAAAAACGGCTTAACTACGAAACAATGGACTGTCGTTTGCAGAACAACCACGCGTCATATAGACCGCGAGCTCTATAAAGTACCTTTTATCTACTTTGCTTCACTCGATATTAAGCGATTTTCACTTTGCGAACGTGCAGCTCCTCCCTAGCTTCCGGGTGTCTTTCAGAACTCTTTTCTTGGTTGAGTTAGCTACGACAAGTTTCATAACGGTCTCGCTTCTTTGAGTAGGTATACGCATCAGGGTGTTTGTCTTTCCTCCTGAGCTGGTTTCGAGGCAAAAGTTAAATGATTTTGTCCGACGGTAACAATAGTTGGTTGACATTCTTTAGAATCTGTTAAGTCTAATTTCTCCCTTATGGTATCTGCTAAATTACTTCCTTATGATACAATATTAATTTCTGAAAATCTCGAGTCGCAGAGAACAGGAAAAATTCACACGACAATGTTTTTAACGTTAATCTGATTTAAAGTACATATATGAGTTGTTGAGATTCAGAGATACTCCTTTGATCTTTGTCACGAAAATCCTTTTTCCGCAGAATATGAAAACGTTTTCTTAAATGCATTATGACCCGCGTTGTTTTCATAGCGCGCCTTTTTACAGCGCCCGTCATCCCATTTTCTGTTCATTATGTTTATACGTTCTTTGTCATAATAACGCTGTGCGGATCGTCGCGTATTAGCACGTATTGAAGCCCGGTTTCTTTTTTTCAATTTTGCTCACAATTCGAGTTGCGCGCGAAAAAAGGTCCGTTGCTTGATCTTGATGGAAATTAAAGTAACTCACTTCGCATTAAGCTGCGCGAATGTTACTGTAGGACATTTCATTAATTAGCTAATGGCCGGCACGGTTGCTGTGTGCCTTCTCACACATTCTGCAACGTAACAAAGTATAAATCACAAGTATACCGGAATTCATAATTAGTATTATCAATATTATCTCAAAATGTATTGCAGTTTGGTACTTCAAATATTTTTGAAGTTTATTTAAAGCTGTGTATACAATGTTAGAGTTTGGTAAACTATATTCTGTGTGTTCGTCCACCACCGGAGACAACACTTGTACACGTTTCTCACAGATAGCGGGTTGCCCACAGAACTTAATGGTTTTCCCGATAATAATAGTTCTCTTTAGTATCTTGGACTTCGGTCCTTTCACGAAAGCGACGGAACTACCCGCATTTTGAGTTAGGGCAAGTTATTCAGTTGTCCACCGCAGAATAAACTTGACTGCAACGAGCTCTATTGCAAATTGCCAGCTTTCGTATATTGATTTTTCATCCACTTTGTATTGTTCATTTTCAAATTATTTAACGAAGTGAAGAATGCAACACGTTTTAAATATCAGATTTTTAAATCGATGATGGAGTTCTCTGATTGTTATTGCGAGGGTTACAGTCATCGGGGATGTTGAATCCAGGCGATACTGTTTTCCACGATCCATCTTTATTCGAAACTAAGTAGAAATACGATCTAGCTTAAACCCTACATGATGAAGGGTGGGTTCACGCGCGCGCGCGCGCGCGCGTCTCATAGGCGTAACCAACTTCCTTATCTTTCAATATGTCTCAATGTCTAAGAGTTACGTTAATACATAATAATAATTAATATATTCATTGTTGTATAATTTAATATTATTTTTTTTAAATTGTATTTGTAACAACATTGTGATTCTATAGCTTGACACATTTTTTAATTATAGAGAAATCATAAAATTTTGAATACTCTTTGATTGAAAAAATAGTTTCATATTGCATTTGAATAAAAAATCTCTGTAAAATTATAAGAACTTTTTGAATAATTGTATGTAGCCTTTTGAGGAGGTAGAAATTTCCTTCTTCCGTTCGTTACGCCCATGGTAAGGGGTTTTCCCCTTGATTTCCACTCGAGGTTGCCAACTTCGTACACGCTCTTCACCCCCCGAGTAGTACTAGGTTCCACTTGATCGAATTAATCCATTCCCAATCTAATCAAATCGCGTGAATGTCTAATTTCACACACGATCCGTTTTCGTTGCGCAAGTTCTACCGATACTTCCGTATCGGATGCTTCGTTCACATGTGCGCTCGCTAATAGCGCCCAATTACTTGGCATGTTCGCGTCGACCGATTTCCCTATCGTAAGAATGAGCGAATACACCCCCGCAATCTCCCCACACGGCCACGTTTAACGTTCATTTTATGCACCACATCCGAGCTTCGACTCGATATCGCATCTGCCGATTACCGTCGCGTCGACGAGCTAAATATGTTGATTTTAACACAAATGAACGCACCTCGGAGTCTGAAATTTCTTCTAATCGGTGAATTGCAGTAACAGCCTCGCAACAAATCCAACTGCACTGCTAGAGATTGGTTATGATGAAAATAACAAAACTGAAAAGGAAATCCACCTGAATTTCTTCCTGAATTGTTAAATCTTCCTGATATGTTAAAAGGTGAAATTTTGAGGATGAATATATTGCTTATCGTGACGCTAAGCTTCCTGTAATTTTAACCATCAATAAATGGTAGTGCCACGTAGTTCAAATTTAAAATAGGTCGTAAGCAAATTAATTTTCGCGACTGTTACCTTAACGAATCTACTCGGCGTTAAAACAGGTAACAGGTAAGCTCGATATTCTCTTCAGAAGTTGGCAAACTAACCGGCTACCGACCAGTTCTCTCTGGTTCTCGCGTACCGGAGAGGCTTCAACAATATTGTAATTACAACATCAAATGGTCGATTAACAGAAATTTAGCGGCTACGATCCAGGTCTCCGTTGATAATTAACTTCCTGGCGACATCAAACCGATTAACGCGTTTCTGTGACCCGAGTTTTCTCCACTTGTATAAAGACGCGAATTGCTGCAAG